CGTCCTCGGAACTGTTATCGCAGCTTCTCTGCTGGCTGGTTCTCCGTACTCGACACTTGGGGAACAACTCGGAGTGCAAGGGCGAGCTCTTCTGTTCGTCCGATTTTTTGATCACACTCTTCGGGAATACGTCCGACAGGGAAGATTCACCGTCGCTCTCGAACTCCTTCACCTCGCTGCAACTGTTCCTTTTGCTCGTTCTGGAGAGCATCGGCAAGCTGTTCACTACGCGTTTAATACCGAACAGAGAGGAGGCACTCGACGCGCAAATTTTGTCCTCGGAGCTGATCGCGGAGCTGATCGCCGACGCACTTTTCCCCAGCTCTCTCGATCTCTCGCGTATCAGCGAACAATCGGCATCGACGTTCGCCGGGATCTCGTTCCTCGTCAACGAGTCGTTCGACGCCATCCGTTTCATCTCCAGTTGCTCTTCCTTTCCTCGTAGACCATCCTTCTCCGAGATCTTCTCGTCTGATGATTCCTCCTCCTCCGTGCGACGTTTGCTCCTCGGGTAGCAAGGGACGACGGTGCAACAGTCGATGAATAAGTTCGTAGTGACCCGTTGCGTCATTTCTCGAAGGGTGCGCGATCGATCGGCCGCGTTGAAAGCGGTGTACCCGGTGCTCTTCGTCATTTTCACGATCGCGATCCACAAGAGTTTCGCGACTTCTCCGCGAGCGATCCGGGACTTCTCTCTTGCAACACTTTCTTCTGGCTGTCGAGCGGGGAAACGGGCCGGAAGTTCGTTCGTTTCACTTCGATAACCGCCGACAGTGGAGATTCTCCTCACCGCCTCTTTCTATACTCTGGTAAATCGCAACGAGTCACAGTAACAGAACAACGAACAGTAGTAGAATAACGAATCAGTGTGCGTCGGGATCGTTTTCGGCGTCGAACTCCCAGTTGGTTAAATGCCACTCGTGCTCGTGCTCGTTCACGTTCATTCTGGTTACGTGCGAGTAACAATTCCGCGCAATTATCCCGTGCGATTTCGCGATCAACCCTTTGGCAATTTACGCGAACAGCGTTTACAGCGTGACCGTAGAAGCTAAACGTCGGGTGGCGAAACACTCCCGATACCGACCAGCTCGTTTCTGCTCACGGCCGTTTCTGATAGTGTAACGAGGGGGAACGAGCACCGCGATAAAACTGATTTTTTTTTTTTACTTCCTGTTTTCCGGCCTGGATACGAGTGGGTGGGCTTTCACGTTCAAGGTTCCACGGAATCACGATAAACGACGATATTTTAATTATTATATTTTTCCAGCGTTTTC